ATGACAAACCCATGCTGGCTATCCCTCAGGATTTTGCCATTGGCCAGTCTGTTAAGAATGGTCTCTTTGATAATCTTTTCTAGGATCTTCCCCAGGAGAGAGGTCAGGCTGATGGGCCTGCAGTTTGCCAGATCCACTTTCCTCCCTTTCTTGAAGATAGGCACCACATTGACCTTCTTCCAATCTTCAAGCACTTCACCAGAGCACCAAGAGTTCTCAAAGATCCATGCCAGGGGCTGAGCTATGATACTATCCAGCTCCTTGAGTACCCTGGGGTGTAAGCTGTCAGGGCCTGCTGACTTGAAGGTGTCCAGCCTCTCAAGGTGTTCATGAGGTTAGCATTGATGGAGGGTAAGGAATCTCCCTCACCCAGGCCTTCCCGTCCCATAATGGGCAGGGGCATCCCATGGGACTGGTGAAAGATTGATACAAAATACCCATTTAGCAAGTTGGCTTTTTCCTGAGTGTCAGTAGACAACTGTCCTGTCTGGTTTAGCAAGGGTCCAATATTGCCCTTGCTTTTCCTCCAGCTCCCCACATATCTAGAAAAGGACTCCCATGACAACCATGGACTGGGAGTGTGCAGTCTCGGCCAATTCCCTGGTGAGCTCCTGGTCAAGCTCTTGAACCTGGATTGGAGGTCTGTAGTAGGCTCCCACCGTTGTGTCCCCTGTGCTGTATTCCCCACCGATTTTAACCCAGAGGGCCTCTAGTCATCCACCCTGGGCGCCAATGTTGGCTTGCAGGGACGCATAGCTTTCCTTGACATAGAGAGCTACACCCCTGCCCCTTTTATCCACTCGATCTCTCCTGTACAGAGTATAGCTGTCTATACCTGTGGCCCAGTCATGGGTGGAGTCCCACCAGGTCTCCATTATCCCTATGACATCATAATAGTTTGTGTTGAGCAAGAGGACAAGTTCCTCCTGTTTGTTCCCCAAGCTCCTGGCATTTGTGTACAGGCATGCAAGTGTCCCTTTGGGGGCCCTTGCCTTGCCCACAGATCATTCCAGGGCTGGGGCAGGGGTGAGCTCTTAGAGTACCATGGCCTGCTGGCTTTGCACGGGTTGCTTAGCGGGCCAGCAGTGGCGGTAGTCCCCCGATCCCCTGAGGGGGCTTAGTTTAAAGCCCAGTGGAGCAGGTCAGCCAGTCTGGCTGAGAAGAGCCTCCTCCCCAGTGGAGCGAGGTGGAGCAGCTCGCTGCCTCTCTTACGAAAGAGCGGACTGTGGTCATGGAAGCCAAAGCCTTCCCGATGACACCAGCGCTGCAGTCTTTGGTTCACTACCTCAATCCTCCTCTCCCTCCTCAGCCCATAGCCCAAGACTGGGAAGATTGAAGAGAACACCACCTGTGCCCCCCACCCCTTAAGCCCCACTCCCAAATCCCTGTAGCGCTTCATGAACCGGCTGGGAGTGCTCCAAGCCGTGTCATTTGTGCCCACATGGATAAGGAGCGTAGGGTAGTGGGTCAGTGGGCCGGAGGAGCTCAGGGATCTTCTCCGCAATGTCTTGGATAAGGACTCCCGGGAAGCAGCAAGCTTCCTGGGCTAAGGGGTTGGGGTGGCAGATTGCCCTCTCAGGATGAAGTTTTGTCTTAGGGAGAGCGGGGGCTGTAGCTACAGTAGTGCGTGTGTTGCCTGCAGGAGCTGGCAGCTTAGCAGGCTCTGCTGGGACTGCAAGAGGTTTGTACCTGTTGCAAAGCTCCAGCGGGGCGGGGACCTTGGTGTGGTGGGCCTTGGGGCCCTTGACCACCTTGGTCCAACCCCTGGGCTGGACAATAAGGGAGGTCCCCAAGTCCTCCCTTGTCCTGGAGGGTGACCGTGGTCTACCCTCTGCCTCCCGGGGGAGAAGGGCCTGGCAGTAGGAGTCTATCTCCTGCTCACCATCCCTGCTGGCACGCAGTCTCTGGACTGCAGCCTGGAGCTCCTCCACCTGGCACACCAGAGACTCCAAAAGGGAGAAGACCTCACAAGGGGAGGTGGCCATGCTCCCAGACCCCAGAGCCTGAAAAAGTGACAGGCAGCCCCCACAGCCGAGAGCCAGGGGCTCCATCTGGGCGGAGGCCTATGAGGCACCAGAAAGCGGGGGGCGGGGGGTAGACCCTAAGGGGGTCCTCAGGGTGCGGTGCATGCCCATCCGCATGATGCCGCTGGGAGGCCAGCTCCGGCTGGGACTGCCTTCCCTAGGGCGCATAGGCAGGGCCTCGGGCCCCCCCGCTCACCGTCCTGCACAAACTCTGCACTAACTCATGCCCCGGGCAGATAAGCGTGCCTGTTTGCGCAGCCTGTTCACTAGGGTCCGGTTGCGTGGCTCCCTGCGGGGGTTGGGTGAAGTAGGAGTCAGGGCAGGATGAGACCCTCCTCAGCTCTGAATCAACCGCCTCCCTGCAGCTGAGCTAGGCTAGTCCCCTCCCACCACGGGCCCCACTTACCTCCGGCTGTGCTGGGGGTCAGCAGGGGTGCTCTGCAGCTGTTGGGGGTCGCTGGGGGGCTTTGAGTTGCGGGGGCGCAACGGGCTTTCACCCATGCATCTCACGCCACTCCCTAAGCCCAAATCCTGGGCCCTTACAGTCTCCTTGTATTGTAAAGTATTTTAGATAGAAGTATGACCCTGTATGCAAGTTGTGTGTTTGGAGATGATACATCTTGATCACCTTTGATAGCGAAGCTGAAAACAGCGCATTTTCAGGCCAACAAATATAAAGTTGTTAAATTCCCTACAAATAATTGCTAAGTAACCCAATTAATGATCCTTTTGCATGCTGCTCTGAGATAATGAGTTAGCATGATATTGATGTATAGATACACCAACCAGAGTGTTCTCTAAGGACCAGCGTCTTAGCAAATGAGGAAATTTTAACTAACCGGCAAACAGTGAGCTACTTTATCTTTTCTGTCAGAGAAAAATGCCATTACTTATCCCCAGATACAAATTTTACAGCACATGTAATGAAAGATGACTGTGCGTTTTGCTTTCTGTAATTGGCCTGTTTTGATTAAAAACCTGGTAAGTTTGTACTGGTATGGTTAATGAGCAACGGCAAAAGGGCATAATTTTCTCTCCTTTTATGTGTAATTGGAACAGAAATGAACCACACGTTGCAGTTTTGCAAGACCTTTTAAAATATAGAATTTTGCTAAGCTCACATGGGATTACTTGTACAAGGCTTCAAAAGAAAGGATTTCCTATGAAATAATCCTTGCATGAAAGATGAATCCTTGATAATGACATTTAAAAAAATTTAATTGATGCCTAAACTTTTGTTTGTAAGAGTGTTGGAGGCAAATGCCCTTGTATTTATTGAAGTGCTGGTTAATTGTAGATCAAAAAGCACCTGTATAGAGTAAGAGATGCAACAAAGCTCTTAGGTACATCCTTAGAGTTATTCAGGTGCTAATATTCTTTACTGAATTGGTGTCTGAATGCATGATGAAAGCAGGTTGGGCATGGTAGAATGAAAACCATTTTAACTAATTAGGATATCCCGGCTAATAAAATTGGCCTGGAGGATGTTTCAGAGCCATTACCTACAAATTTCTCTACCACCCTTGATGGTTTTGTGAGTAGATTCAGTGCTTGCCAAACTGAAGAGCTGGGTCTTTAGTTAGAACCCAGAACACTACTTGCCTTTGTGCAAACTCCACTGGCTTCAGCTCTAGTGACACACCGAAGCTCTGGTTTGCTCTTCACCTGTTTTCTGGCTCTTCCTGGCCCATCTCCCCCATGCTTATAAATTACCAGTCATTGGAACATTTTTTGTAAGTTTAGATTGACTCTGCTGCATGATGGTGAAAAGGGTTGAAAGGGAGGTAGAAGAGGAATATAGTGCAGAGAAGTGGTGGGGGGGTTAGATCAGGGGTGAGCAGCAACTTGTAGCTCACATGCCACATATGGCATGGGCAACTTGTGTGTGGTATGTGGCAGATCAGAGAAGGGGCAGGCAGCACAGTGGCAGATACTGGAGGGAACAGAAAGCAGAGCAGCACATCAGGCAGGGAGCACAGGGCAAGAAGCAGAGAGCAGAGTAATGCATTGGGCAGGAAAAGGAATCAGAGTGATACTTGGGGAGGAAACGGGACTTAATTTGTGGCACTCCTACCAAAAAAGTTGGCCCTCACTGGTTTAGAGGATGTGAAAAGAGAAGAGGAAAGAGGACAGGATTAGCTTTACTGGGATGGATCTCCTCTCCTGTGGACATGAAACTGAAGTTTCCTATATCTGGCAGCTACTTCAAGAAGTTCCAGTACTGCAGCTATTCCCCCCATGTGCGCAGTTGCAAGCCCAACACTGACGGCATTTCCTCTTTTGAGAATCTCCTAGCCAACATCATCCTTCGGGTCTTTGTCTGGGTCATTGCTTGCATCACCTGTTTTGGGAACCTTTTTGTCATCTGCATGAGGTCCTTCATCATCACCGAGAACAGCCAGCACACCATGGCCATCAAGTCACTCTGCTGTGAGTTGGGATCAAGGGAGGGAGGATCTGGTTTGGGCTCTATCTTTGCTCTGTGTGTGCATGCAAGCAGAGAATGGAAACAGGCAGCAAATACATGATCAGCAAATATCCCTGAAATGGGCCACCCTTTCCCCAGTCCAAGAGCAAATCTTGTCTGTAAACTTGCTGCTGGCTGTTGGCCTGCTCATTGTTAATGTCCTCAGAGCTCCTGAGCCTCTTTTACATCCCAGTTGCTGCCTCACTCCTCATTGCACTGAGGGCACAAAGGCACTCAAGCCTGCTTGTTAATAATGACTCAAAATACTTTTATGCCTTATGGGCAGACTAAAGGGGGGCCCTGCTCCCAGCTGCAGGCACAACACTCCTGTCGACTTCAGTGGAAGAAGCCTTTTGTATATTCAGGGAGAAAATTTGGCCCGGTATTCACAATAGCTTCATAATAGCCTCCTTGCTTCCAGGGTACTGGTGCAAAGAACAAACTCTGTGAGCTGGTGTTTGTTGCCTTGTCTGTTCCAGGTGCAGACTGTCTGATGGGCATCTACCTCTTCTTCATTGGAGCCTTTGACCTCAAATACTCTGGCGAGTACAATAAGCATGCCCAGGTGTGGATGGCAAGCATTCAGTGCCAGCTGGTGGGCAGCCTGGCCATGCTGTCCTCAGAAGTATCTGTCCTGCTCCTGACATATATGACCTTTGAGAAATACTTCTGCATTGTCTTCCCATTCAGCCACTATAAAGCTGGCAAAAAACAGACCATTTCCATGCTGGTCATCATCTGGCTGCTAGGACTTTCCCTCACTCTTGTCCCCTTCTGGTGCAAGGAATCCTTTGGGAACTACTACGGGAGAAATGGGGTCTGTTTCCCACTCCAGTCAGATGTGACTGAGAAACCAGGAGCCAGGGGCTACTCCACTGGAATCTATCTAGGTAAGGGCATGACTACACAGCCACTCCTCTGCACCTGCTCTGTTCTGGTGATGCTGGCAGACATGGATCAGAATGTGCTTTAATTGTTGGTGGCTCTTCCACTATGTCAGGACAGTGCGAAAAAAGCTGCACTGAGCAGCAGGAAATCCCAGTGCTCAGACCACTAGCCTAGGGAGACTAGAGAGGCCAGGTTCAACTCCCACCTTCCCCTACAGACTGCCCATGTGACCTCTCTGGAGTGCTAAGAGAATAGTTACACAAGGAAGTGCTCACACACTGCAGGACTGGGGTCATGTAACAGTCTCAGATAGACAGCAACTACCCACATGGGCCCAGAGACTGCTTGTTGTTGCCATCTCCTTTGGCTTGGTTTGAAACCAGCTTTCTAGGTGATGAAATAAAGGTAATGTGACACTACCTGCATAAACTGTGTAGGGTGAGGGGAGGCTGCTTTTAGCAGAAGGAGAAAAAACTACTAGCAAATCACTCCCAGAAGAATTTTGTTGCTAGCAAGGCCAACAGGCCATAGAACAAGGGATGAATGCTCCCCACCAGCCTTGCAGTGCACTGGCATGTGGTATGTGCCAATTGTCTTCTCTGCCCAGAAATAATTTGTTTGCCAAAATGTTGGTCTTTCTTCATGTGCCAGCCTGGCTCCCACTGCCAAGCTTGTCCCTATAAAGAAGGGCCATCCAACTTCTGAAAGGCTGGGGGGGGGGACAGGCTGCTCCTTCATTCAGTGTACCTGTAGCCTTGAACATGCACGTGCATACATGCATGCACACATACATCGCCCATCTTGTCCCTGGTGCATAGGCTGTCTCTCTGGCACAACGTAGAGTGTTCTCACAATCCTTTCCCCATAGGTCTGAACCTCGTTGCCTTCATCATTATTGTTTTCGCCTACACCAGCATGTTCTACTCTGTCCACACCACAGCGGCCAAGACGGTGGAGCGCAGTGTCTTCTCCAGGGAGGTTGCCATTGCCAAGAGGTTCTTCTTTATTGTTTTCACAGATGCCCTTTGCTGGATCCCCATCTTCCTCCTCAAGCTCCTCTCTCTGCTCCAGGTGGAAATACCAGGTGACAGAGCCAGCTCAGGCTGGCCCAAGCTGCTATCATTACATACACAGAGGCAAGAGCACACCATGCTGGTGGTCGCTTCTTGCTGCTGATGCTCGTGCTCTGAGCACAGGGCCTTGAGGCACCATTACTCTGGCAACACTGTGACCTGTCAAGGGAAATGCCAAGTCTTGGGGGCTTGGGGCCTCCTAAGCTTCAAGGGGAAACTTCCATTTTTCAGCCCCTGGCTATAAATGCCCTGTAGATCTGCTTACTCACACAGCTGTAAGCATAGAATAGCTCTTGTTGACTTTATCGTCCTTACACCTGTGTGTCTGAGAACAGAATCTGCATAAGGGTCCCCACAGACATAGGGGAGCTGATGCTTTTGGGAAGTAGGCACCAACCTCTGTGGTTACTAACCTACTCTCCTTGTTGGAACAGGTACCATAACCTCTTGGGTGGTTATTTTCATCCTGCCCATCAACAGTGCCTTGAATCCTATTCTGTACACCATCACCACCACCTCTTTCCAGGAGAAGGTCAAACTGTGTTTGCAGACGAAGCAACAGTCATTACAAGAGGCACCAGGATCCCAAAAGAGCTTTATCCTAGTATCCATACACACCAGCACTGCCTGACTTATGCGCTTCAGGCCTAGCCGCTGGGTACAAAGACATCATGACTTTGTCCAGTGATCACTGGTGGCCTATGGGACTTGAACTCTGCCGCCCTTCTATCATCTTCTCATCAGTGCCGTTGTAACTGGGATCAGCTCCATAAAGTAACCCATGTGGCAGCATTGGATCTACTTGCCTCAGGAACTCTCACGGTATGGGTTTATCAGCAGCAGGAACATCTAATCTGGTCTTCGCTACAAGGCTGAACCAGCTGCTGCGGAGTGAGTGGGCATCATCATCTCATAATCATCTCTGTCTCTCCACGGCGTGGTCTCTACAGTTCACAGAACCTTTCTCCTGCTGGCAAACTATCTAAACATTGCAGCAATCCTTGGAAGAGCTGCAAACCCTGGATTTGGCAGCCTATAGGTCGAGAGAAGAGAGGGCAGGCTGGAGATTTGGCTGATTGCAACAAGTTTGCAGTCCTGTTGAGGGGAGCAAGAGCAATTAGCAGAAGCAGCCTGGGAAGAGCCATGGGAAGGACTGCAGCAGGGGTGTAGCAGGGCAGCTCCACCCTTTGGGCAGCAGCAATGCATGGGGAAGCACCATCTGTTGCAGTGCGGGTAGTGGTGGCACAGTCAGCTGCTACTGCAGTGATGACTACTCTTGCACTTCTCCCAAAGGTGGCATCTGGGGCCGCTGCATTGGTCATCCCCTCAGTTAGGAGCAGTATTCAGTGCATCCTCTGTGCAGTGCTACAGCCTAAGCCTGGGTGCTGAGTCCAGTATCATAAGGCCCAAGACAGCAAACGGGCCTGTCAAAGCCCAGCATCCCCCAGGTATCTTTACATCTTCAGTCTACCAGGAGCCACATGAGCTACTGCAGCAACCCATTTTGGGATGTTGCTGCATAGGAAAGATGCATAAACAGCAGCAGGCAGCTAACATCAAGACTTCACCACCCAGCAGTGCATGCCATTAGTTTATGATTGCATGGATGAGCAAATGCAAGCCCCATTCTGTGTCAGTACAAAACCCCTGTCCCTTCTACACAAAATACACATCTGTTAAGAGTGAACATCACCGAGCTGTACTGCCTGACACATATTAACATTCTAACAGTAAGAAACATGCAGCATGCCAGTAACATGCAAAAGTAAGAAACTTTTGCTTTTGTTTTTTCTAATAAGGGACCCAACTTTCTAAATGTAATTGGAAAATCTGAGGAGCTACTCCTCTGGCCCCTGGAGAGAGGCCTACGTGTATCAAGTCTCCCCCGGTCTAGTGCCCATGAAGAGAACTGTTAAGGAGGCTGGATCCAGAGGACCCTGTGCTTCCCCCTGGCTGACTCATTTCTCAACCCCTCACCGAGCAGGTACAGGGTGTGGAAAGTGCTGGAAAGGATTGCTAACTTCTCTACGCAGTCAAAAGGGCATCAGAATTTGATGACAAAGCAGTTCAGCTCACGACCACGTTGCATGCACCTGAGGTTCCCTGGGGAAACTGCCAGCCGACAGGCCACTGATTTCCCCATGCTCACCCACGTGTGCAAGGCCTTTCCCAGTGTGGCAGCTACCTTCTTGCATGATCTCTTGGGCCCTGGTGTGCTAAGTCACCACTTACACTTCCCAAGAGACAGCACAGATGCTAGATGTTATCAGCCTCTGAGAGCACAGGTGCATCTGCTGCCAGGTAGGAGTTTCCCAGCTGGAGCATCATGTCCTGGGGGTCTACACAGCAAACGTGGGCTGCTACAAATTCCTCACACACTTGGTTTCTTGAAAGCTGTGCTGGAAGCTCTGACCTCACCCTTACATGTACTAACAGGCTCATGCAGTGCTAAGTTCTCTGTCACAAACACTGCTAAACCCCAAGTCTTAGGACAGACCAGTGTCAGTAATTCTGAGGCTGACTGGCTGTATCTCTCTCTCCAGCTGCCAGCCCTAGATATTAGATTGGAGCAGTCACATGAAGCAGGATACAGAAAAGTCGAATAGAGGAAAGAAGCCAACCACTAAGTGAAGAGGCTAGACAGAAATATTCCTGTGGTGATGTACAAGTGAATGACTAGAGATAGTCCCTTCTAGCAGGTTGTGTTGTGCATTTGAGCATTGGGGAACAGGAAAAGCTGGAGGGTCCATTACTTTGTAGTAAGCTTCCATTGTTAATAAAGTTCTTGTTTCTTTCTCATTTGGAGTCTGTGGTTGTCTTATGCTGTTAAATGGCAGATCATTGCAAAACTGCCCGCTGGGAGGTTTCTTTTCTAGCATGTTTCTCTAAAGTTTCCAGTTCTGGGCACCGTTAAATCCAAGATCCTGGCCTAGCCAGCCCCTGGGACTGATGCACTGGAAGATACCAGGTAACTGTAAACATGTAATATGGCCAGCAGAGAGGAGAGGAGAGGAACGGATACAGGCCCCCCGCGTGGGCTGTCTGTGCCTGTGGCCTGTGCTACATGCTCTGCAATGGCAGGTGAGACACTTGTGGGCTTAACTATGGCTTCTGGCCTATTTTTCCCAGAGCTATTTTTCCCACAAGACAGCCTGTGTTCAGGGTCATAAGGGAAGAGAAGCCTCTCATGTCACTCCATGGTGATCCCAGAGCCCTGGCGAATGGCTTCAGAGGGGAAATGCCTCCTAACCCAGCTAGATGCCATCCAAGCAGCAATAGCTCCAGACTGGCACTCTTCTGCCAGGCTGACCCAGGGAGCAAGCCAAGTGAGCACCCAGTAAAAGGTGATGGCACCTGCTACTGCTACACAACTCTTCTTACCTCCTTTCCAAAGCGAGAACTAAGGTTTTGGCAAATGCCATGACTGCAGAGGCAGCAGTGCCTCCAGCAGGCTAGCTTCTGCAAGACAGTGGTGCAGGGGAGTGTCTGATGCAGAGCATGTAATGCTCCCACAGGGGCTTGGTTTGCACCGCTACCAGGGTGGACTGCAGCCTGCTAGTTGAGCAGGAGTTGAGTTTGCAACAGGTTTGCTCCAGGCAGTAGACTGAGGCCTAGCAACAGAGACCCGATTGGTCCACAGCAGAGCATACAAATGAGGGGGATGGGTCAAGGGCAGTAGTATTTAAGGAGGCTGCACCCTGAGCAAGCTCTGGGAGCCTCAGGGCTAAGGTGTGAGTGGGCTTTGCTCTATACCTTATTCTTGTAACATCAGTTACTTTCAGGGGAATGGAAGGGGGTGGCTCTGCTCTGTGGACAGCTGTGTCATTGGGAAGTCAGTCCATGGACTGGGAGAAGAACCAAACCGGTTCCTAAATGTTGTTTTCCGTCATTTTATTTGCCACCCAAGTGGGACTCCAGGCTCAGGCCAGACTTCAGATAAGGGACAGATTAAGTTAAGCACTAGCAAAGGGAGTTACAGCAACTTGGGGTGACAGATTTGCAAGCTGTTTACCTGAGGGCATGTTCATTTAAGGCACTCAAGGAAAAAAAAAAGTCAGCGTGATCAGCCCCTTAGCTGTTTATGTTGATAAATATGTATCCAGGAGAGGTGGAATCCACTGGGATCCATTTACTCTTAAGAGCATGAGGGACCCTGGAGGTCTATTTGCAAAGGTTTATTTTACAAAACCCAAGATAAAGTGCCCATAGGATGTGTTTTGGGTTGGAACAGCTTGCCTTGTGAAATATAAGCAGGCAAGTTTCTCTGGGGGGATGTGACCAACTAAATAGTTGGAAAAAAGGTTCTTTGCAAAGTTCATGAAGAATAACGCTTTGAAGGCGAAGTGCAGAAAGCTTATGAGTGAGGAAACACTGGGAAGCTGAAGAGCAAACTTATAATTTGGAGCAAACCATTTAGAGTTCAAAATGTTTTTTAAGGGAGGCATTAGGAGGCAGAGTTAGAGGAGAAAAAAGAAACTGGTGTCACGCAGACACCAAAAGAGCAAGAGAGATTGTTTTAGAAATGAGTTGTGGGTAACTTTCAGGCGGCAGCCGGACATGACCCAATTCATCACGCTGGATGAGGATCATGGGTCTGGGGTCTCCCCAAGTTAACAAGGGCAACGCGTCTAATCCCTGTCGTAAGAAAGAGTATCTATTATTGCAGAGTTCAGGTATGACTTGCTTTCCAATGCCTGATGTGACCCCCACTTCCTGCTGGCCTGTTCATTAATGGGATCAAAATGATTATATCACAGCTCCGAGGTAGTCCACATGAAAATAACACTTTTAGCAAATGTAGCTACAATTAATAATGAGCAGAAGCCATCCCAATAAGAAAAGACATGACATTAAGCACTGACAAAGTATGGGTAGCACGGGTGTTCTTGAGGAGGTAGCTTCAGCTCATGGAAGCTGCCTCACAGGCAGCAGCATCAGAAAAAACTCTTGATGTGATGGAGGTGTCTCAAAAATGACAAATCCTATGGCAGCTCAGCTGAAATGGTGGAAAACAAATAGAAATTTGAAAATCCTGTTGCAGAAGGTATTAAAGAAATGGAGAATGATTAGGATGTTATATTGACCCTAATTTTAATGACTATCGGAAGAACAGTTTACAACAGTTCAGTTACCAGCTACCCGTTTGGAGGTAGGCACTTCATCTCCCCTGTGCCTCCCTTGCCAAATGGGGATAAAAGCAATTCCCGAGCTCACAAACCCATTTGTGCCTGTGAGGTGCTTGGGCTCTACGGCCGTAAGAGCCATGTCAGTGCCCATGTAGCCCTGCTGTACATAAGCAGTGATGACCCATCTGGAAGTTACTTGCAGTCTGCGATTACAGTGCAGAGGCCCTAGGTGATGACCATGTTTTCATCCAGTTCCTTCTGGTCCAGCGTTCCCATGGGGCCTTTCCCCTGCCAAGGAAATGAGATGTGGTGAGCCCAAGCAGAGGGAGGGCTCTGTTCATTAATCTTGAGCTGCAAGCAGGGCAGGGAGTGAGGGTTGAGTTTGATGCATCCTATGGGCCCATCCAAGGTTCAACCTTAAAACCGGGATTACAATATAATATAGTCACACCTGAGGCACGCTGCAGGTGTAAATCTGGTATCTGCTTCCCAACACAGGCTGATGCTTAATTGGTGCTGTTGCAGGTGCTAAAACATAGCATAACTTTGCGCAGAGTAAGGCACAAGCCAGGCCTAGGAAAAATGAGGCACAGTATGCCTGCAGGGAGCTGCACAGCTAAAACCACTCCCACTCCATGGCTAATCCTTATGCACATTAGGGGAAGGAAACCACATCCTCCCACAAGGCTAGAGAAATCTGCGTTTCCCAGAGGCACCAGTTCTTGCTCCAGAAGGCCATGCTGGCCTTTTTCAGTCTCTTGCACACTAGGAAGTGAGCAGTGGTGGTCTTCTTGCCCCTCACAGTCTAGGCCCCAAGAGCATGTTTCTGCTTAGGGCAATAGGAAGGATAATCATTCTACAGGGAGAGCTGAAGGACAATCTAACTGATTGTTAGAAAAGTTTATTAAAGAGGCCATCCTTAATGGACTGGCCGACGTCAACATCTTAAGGGATAGCTAGCACGGGTTTGTTGCGGGTAGGTCTTGCTTGACCAATCTCATTTCCTTCTACGACCAGGTGACCTATCACCTGGACAAGGGAGAAGAGATTGATGTCATATATCTTGACTTCAAAAAAGCCTTCGATCTGGTGTCCCATGATCGCCTCTTGGAGAAACTGGCCAATTGTCGCCTTGGGTCCTCCACGATCCACTAGCTGGAAAATTGGCTCCGGGGTCGGACCCAGAGGGTAGTAATCGATGGAAGTCACTCATCGTGGTGTCCTGTGACCAGTGGGGTCCCCCAAGGCTCTGTCCTTGGACCCATACTGTTCAACATCTTCATTAATGATGTGGACACTGGAGTCAGAAGCGGACTGGCCAAGTTCACCGATGACACCAAACTTTGGGGCAAAGCATCCACACCAGAAGACAGGCAGGTTATCCAGGCTGACCTGGACAGGCTCAGCAAGTGGGCGGACGAGAATCTGATGGTGTTCAACGCCAATAAATGCAAGGTTCTCCACCTTGGGGAAAAAAAACCCGCAGCATCCTTATAGGCTCAGCAGTGCTATGTTGGCTAGCACTATGCAAGAAAGAGACTTGGGGGTCATCATTGACCACAAGATGAACATGAGCCTGCAATGCGATGCGGCGGCTAGTAAAGCGACCAAAACGCTGGCTTGCATCCATAGATGCTTCTCAAGCAAATCCCGGGACGTCATTCTCCCCCTGTACTCGGCCTTAGTGAGGCCGCAGCTGGAGTACTGTGTCCAGTTTTGGGCTCCACAATTCAAAAAGGATGTGGAGAAGCTTGAGAGAGTCCAGAGAAGAGCCATGCGCATGATCAGAGGTCAGGGAAGCAGACCCTACGATGACAGGCTGAGAGCCCTGGGGCTCTTTAGCCTGAAAAAGCGCAGGCTCAGGGGTGATCTGATGGCCACCTACAAGTTTATCAGGGGTGACCACCAGCATCTGGGGGAACGTTTGTTCACCAGAGCGCCCCAAGGGATGACGAGGTCGAATGGTCACAAACTACTTCAAGATCGTTTCAGGCTGGACATAAGGAAGAACTTCTTTACTGTCCGAGCCCCCAAGGTCTGGAACAGCCTGCCACCGGAGGTGGTTCAAGCGCCTACATTGAACACCTTCAAAAGCAAACTGGATGCTTATCTTGCTGGGATCCTATGACCCCAGCTGACTTCCTGCCCTTTGGGCGGGGGGCTGGACTCGATGATCTTCCGAGGTCCCTTCCAGCCCTGATGTCTATGAAATCTATGAAATCTATGAAATGATCAGCAAAGATGAAGCCTGGAAACTTGACTGGTTTTGCAAAAAAACTGCCTGTTGGGAGGTCCGTCTATTGTTCAACAGCTCCCGAAGTCAGTCTGTTTAGCTACAGTCTGCCCATATTTGGCCCACAATCACCACAACATCTGAGTGCCTCCCAATCTGAAATTATTCAACCTTACAGCTCCCACTCTGAGTTGAGGCAGACCTTCACAAAAAGGGTCCGGGCATCACAGAGGAAGGACTGATACCAGTGGAGAGTCACAGAGACATCCTGTGGTGAAAGGAGCGCTGCAGTTGCCTCAGCTTGTATCCACTTCTTTTGCATTGACAAGCAAGCAACAAGTTGAGTTGGGAGCTGGGAGGATTTACACTTTGCTCTTTGACCTGTGTGACTCACTAGGCACATCTACTTATGATGCTACATCACCGTAGCGATGCCTACC